TTGGGTTTCAAGTTTCTCCTGCAGTTTGATGGTCTTTGTTCCTATCCATATTCTAATTCTATTACTGTAATTTCAGCCATCTCAGTCTGGTTAGGAATCATTGCTGGGGAACTAGAACAATCCTTTTGAGATAAGAAAACACTCTGGCTTTTTGAGTTGCCAGAGTTCTTGCACTGGTTCTTTCTTATTTTTGTAGGCTGATGTTCCTTCAATCTTTGAAGTTGCTGACCTTTGGTTGGTTATTTTTTTTCTTTTATCCTATTTGGTGTCCTTGGAGGTTTGGTTGTTGTATAAGGTGAGTACAGTCAACTGGCTTTGTTTCTGGAGGATTTTAGGGGTCTAAGGCTCAGCTAAGGACTCCTGAACTGCATGCTCTAATTCTGGGCAGTGATATTGGGCCAGGCTTTGATATGTGCCCCCTGAAGGTTAGGAACCTGCCACATTGGAGAGGCTGGGCTCTTCCAGGACCACTGGTCACAACTCTCCTATGGGTGGTGCCAGCCACCATACCCAGGAGAGTGGTGGCAGTGTGATCCATCCTCGTTTGCACATGCCAGCAGCAGTGGCAGTATGATGGGGTATAGATGCATTGGCTGCAACATGAGGCTTGCAAGTACAGGCATGCTGGTCTCTGTGCTGGTGTTCACAGTGGCAGCGGTGACAGCATGGTGGTGGTAGGGGAGGCATCAGATTCCGCCAGTGTCCCTGTGTGCATTTGCCCAGCAGTGGTGTTAGCACAGGGGTGGGGCAGTGGTAGCACCGGACTGTGCATGCCCTTTGTGTACACATTGACACAGGTGGCAGCTACGGCTGGGGGTGGGGACGGGTCCACTGGTCTCCTCGAATATTTTCATACAGGCAGCAGTTTCAGTGCAGGTACGGGGTGCTGGTGGATGCTGGGCCAGCGTCGCCGAGCCCACAAATGCTCTGTTGACAATGTTGGCACAGCAGGGGGTTGGGGAGCAGGATGCACCTACGCTGGCAGCTGTGGCACAGCAAGATGCATGCACACATTCATGATACTGGGAAAGGGGAGGCAAGACCCGTCTGCACACATGCACTGTCAAATGATTTGGAGGATGGGGGTGGCCATAGGTGAGTGGGTGCAAGCAAAGTGGCACGAGGGAGGCTGTGGTGGGGGGAGGACATGGGCAGGCTGGTACATGCCCACAGAGGCTGCTCCTTTGCCCACTAGAGCTCTTCACAGCTCAAGTACTGTCAGCTAGTGCAGGAGGTATGATGAGGGCCCCCAGGAGGCACCCCACCTGGGCATCTGAGACTGCACTACAAGCAGGCACAGCCAGTCTGGGGCCACAGGAGAGGGCAGTAGACTGAGGAGTGTTCTGGCCTCTTCTGGTGGGCAAGACTGCCCTGCGATGTTTAGGTCCAACAATTTCCCTAGAGCTAAAGTGTCCTATGGGAGCAAGAGGAGCCTTGAAAGATGGGCATCCCTGGCCGTGCTCTATAACAGAGGCTTACACATAAACCCTCTGGGCTCTGAACTTACTGGAGTTCTGCCCCTACCACTTCCTTAAGCATCTCTCCCTGCCAACTCACGTGTTCATGGGAGTTGTGAAGTCTCCTGCTGGCAGGTTTCCAGAGGCCCATGGCAAGTGCAGGTTGCTGCTTGCCTGCTCAACTCACTCCTTCCCTAAGAGCTGTTGGGGCCTAGAAAGGAGTTCCAGTGTGTGATAGCCCCGTTCAGGTTCTCAGTTTTTTTTCCCTCTTTAGTCCCCAGAATATTTATTTTAAAGTAAAATAGTTTCAGTGTGTTAACTCCTACCATTACCTTCTTTGTAATATCTTATGAGTAATATATTGCCTACAGAGATAAGTGGGTCACTTACTGTGAAAAACCTCTTGCACACACTTATAAAACTGTATGAACTAGTGCGTAAAAAGAGAGCTGAAGGGTCCCTTTCCTCAGGCATGACTACATATGTGCAATTGTCTGCATGTACCTATGTGGTACTTCCTGTGTTGCCCAAAATAGAATTTATGGGAACTCCCTAGTAAAAGTAGAAATATCTTCTTGTTTTTTAATGCTTTACTGAAATAAATACATGTATACATGAAAAGCTAAAGCAAGTTAAAAATGTGAATTGCAATGCAGTTTTAGTAGCTTTGTATTACTTTTAACTGGAATTATGATAGTATTAATAGACCTGTTGCCTTTACAGGATACTAATCCTTATTTCTCCCAATTCAAATGCCAACAGATGTCCCTAGTCACTGTTTTTTCTATAATTAAGAAAACAAAACAAAGGAACAAAACAAGAAACAATCAATAGAACTGCATATTGGAATTTTAAAAAGTAACCAAAATGGTTTCATGTGTATCCTTAATTTTTATCCTAAAGCCCACTAATTGCTGAACTGCATTTTGGAAAAATACGAAAAGTGGATACAGAAAGGGAGGTAGAGATGGAGAACATGGAAGCAAATAGAGTAGATCAGGGAGGTGGAAAGGTTAGTGTGGAGCAAATCTCCATCTGAAACTGGAAGATAGTGGCTAGAATTACATTGGGCAGAAAAAAGGAACAGAGTGACACTCCCTGTATACAAAATTTTAAACAATTTGCCTGTTCATTACACATCCTGTGTTGCAAGGTTAAGTGATTTGCCTAAGGAATATTGGTTCTCAGAGTGTTGGGTTCTAGTCCCAGATTTTGCCACTTTTGTAAACTTAGTTTAGTGGTTCTCAAATTTGACCATGCATCAGAATCCTCTGAAGGGCTTGTTGCTGAGCCCTCCCCAAGGAGTTTCTGATTCTTTAGGTCTATTTTTTTTTTTTTTTTTTTTT